TCAAAGATCAAAATTGACTACATGTAATAATGCAATTTTATCTATCTTCTACGGATGCAACCTGCAAACTTAGCGATAAATTTATTTATAAATTATTAATTTTATGTATGAGAGTAAAATTCGAATATTAAAAATTCAAATAGTAAAATTTTAAATTAAAAGTTAACATTTAAAGTAAAACAACAATCTATTATGGAAATTCGGAATTGCTAGCATTTAAGAATATTTTAGTCGATTTTAAAATCTAAATGAATAAAAACTTTTCGTAATGAGAATGCAATGAAAACGTTTAGACTTCAATGAATAACTTTCTGACCTTAATTCAGTGTCATATTAGATTAAGAAAATTATAGCGACAGGAATATGATATTTTTAACCTTTTACTTTTGATTTCAGTAATTATCAATAAAATTCGACTATTTTAAGTTTGAAATGTCATAAAAATCCAAATAAAATGTCCTAAATTTCTCTTCGGAATTTTTTTTTTCACTAATCCAAACATCTCATCACATTCTGTGAATGATAGAGAAGCGAAGGGAGTGCAATATCGCTTCCTCTTCGCTTCGTAACGAGTCATTGCCCCCTCTCTCCACAGCTTAACACTGAGAATGTAATCTGTTTCAACAGTGACATTATTTGTTGATTTACTTGAGTCCGAATGTTTTTTTTTCTTCTTTCCTTTTCAGAAGCGTCCGAACTGCATCTTTTTATTATTACAGAGGTTACTGGCCTTCGAAATGCAATTTCTGGCGGTGTATCCCGTCTTCAATCACATCGTTGACACTTTTGGGGAAAGCAACAGCTTAAACGTCGTTTATCATTATGTAATGAAATGAAAAATAGAACAAATAGGGTGACTTGTGGTTAGAATAAAGAATTGAAAAAAGGAAGAAAGAAGAAAATTTATCTAATAATTCCGAACTATTCCAAACGAAACGTTTGAAAATTAGGAGGAGGATAGAAATATGTTCGCGTTCCGGAGGGAGGTGAGGTGTGGAAAGAGGTGGCTGGCATCGCTCCAGACACGTTATATTTAGTAGATTTAACTACAGCAGACCTTGGAGACTGGTACTGTACTATCGAACGATGCCTTAACGCAAGGTTTTACACTACTCTCGGTTTGTACAAATTTTCTACGGCCTTGTCACGTGCGAAGCCGACGAACAACTGCTATCAATCTCGATTATTTGCTAGATGCGCTTGATATGACTCGATAAACAGTCCGACGACCCCCAAAGAAAAAAGAAAAGTATCAGAGTTATTTATAATCGTTCAACGATGAGTAAAATATCAGATATCGGTGGAATTTACACATATCCCAATTTTTAAATTCAGCATCGCCTGCATGAAAAGTGACAACACGTGAATATAAGATTACAGCGCCATCTAATATCCAGAAAGAACATTATTCGAATCTGTTCCAGTCAATGAATGGATTCGAACCAGAATTTTTTGTTATAGACTAATCAGATTTTTAAGTTAACAACTGAAGACTTTGAAAATATAGAAATTAAAATAAATTTCGCTAACACACACACACAAAACCAACGGATTTTACTAAGCACATCAAATGCACAAATATGGAAAATCAAATACAGAACAGAGAAAGCGAAGTGGAACGCAATTAAATCGATAGAATATGTGAGAAATATTAATAAATGAAAATATCGGGTGAACAGGTCCAGTTTTTTTAACCTGTTCTAGAATTAAAATGTCAATGTTTCGACATCGACAAAGTCTAAGTGATTTATTGCCATTAATCAATCATTTCAATTAAATATCACATAAATACGTTGGGTTAATGACTTTCATATCGCATCACGTTGCCTTTAAAAACAAAATACAATACTTTAACGTTTTACACTTGACTGAGTACAGTTTGAAACAGTACAGGTGTTCACTTACGTACAAACGACACCGAACTATCTAGCATAACAGATGGTCGCGTACATGCAAGTTTCGAATAAAGTATTAAAAAAAACATGAATATTTTGATAGTAAATAAGCCTAAAGTCGGTTTTAAAACGAAGAGAATTGAAACATTTGTTTCGGTATTCTCCGTTTTAACAAAAAGGCAGTAGGTTTGTCTATCAGTTCAGTAAGTGATAATCTTTAACATTAGATATATCGGTCAATGATTTAAAGGGGAGCGGCGTCTCCCTTTCCTGTTTTTGAGATGAGTCATGTTTATTCTCAAAACAAAACTAAGAATCTCACAATAAGAATGCAGTATTATGCGGCCACGTGCGATTATTAGTTATATGCGATTTTTAACACGAATGCATTTAGAATGTTTGCAGCAACATCCTTTAGGACTTAGGCGTTTATGATAATTTAAATGGCAAACTCTTTATAAATAACTAAGCAGGGAAAGGTGCAATTTTTGTAAACGAGGATAGAATGGAGTAACTGTGCCTGTGGGAAACGACACAATAACGAGCCATCTATTGTGTGAGAGGTTGGCGCCAGTGAAACCAGGACACCATCTGGTGGGTGCCGAATTGACTGCATAATAATTCGTAATCTAACGACTGTGTTGTAAAAAATCATCCCGTAAACAGTAGCCTTATTTCTGATTAAAAAAACAAATAAAACTACCGAAAGTAATGTGTGGCTAGAAGACATACGGAAGAGGAAAAAAATCGAATATATTAAATGCCCCCATCTAGCATTCGGAGTCTGAGGTCATTACAACCAAGTATAAATCAAAATAGATCCGATACATAGTCACGCAAGAAGACAATAATAGTTCTGCAACAAGAGTGTACCGCATTTATATTCTTTCTATTCTCAGATAAGGATAAAAAAAAACAATTTCAATAAAGAGAAATCAGAGTCGGGAATGTAACTTTGCTAATTTTCGAGTTATTGCTTTGATTAAATGGTTTAATTAATAATCGAATCGTGATCTAGAAATAAGTCATTCCGCACATGAAATATTTCGAAAACATCAAAATGACTTATCAGGAGATAAGTCTTTATAGTAATTTATTTTCATTCTGAGAAGTGAGAAGGCAAACAAATGTTAAAACTTTTCGCGTTTGGATTGAACGGAAAGAAATTTAGCTCAATTTCTAAAGAATTACGTGATGTGATTAGATATGAGTCTAGAAAAATTATACAAAAATCGTCCTAGTAACGAAAGATTCGATACGAATATATTTTGATAACGTCATATATTAAAATCGATGACGAATACGAAGTGTGTAATGTTTCCGCACTTCTTTGTTCATTACGTATAAATGAAGTACTTCCGGCTCTTCAAACAATCATGCTTTAATTCACGGATATCTGAACAATACTAATAGTAACATTTTATAAATTATAGTCGCAAATTTCCTATCTGAACAAGGTCAAATCGGAAAAATAAATTGCTAAAAGCGTAATAAGTTATTTTCGTTTAGCGTCCATAAATAAATACGGTAAAATTACCTGTGTTAGAAAATTTAATCAATACATTTTTTTTTAATATTCACCCGCTTATAACAAAATCTTTCGATGGAAAATATTGTATAATACCAATTTTCAATAATAATAATAAACAGAGACTATATTGTTTATATTACGACTGTCGAATGTTTACAAACAATTAGCAATAAATGATAAAAATGATACAAGTGTTCCCAAAAAATCAAGTTTTAAGAACCAGTTATATCCAGTTTAGATAAATCGTGTTTGATATGAAGATAATCCATAAAACAAGGAAAATTTCATTTTTAATTAATAGTCTAAGATTGTTTTTTAATTAGCAAACTACATATTTTTTATTGATATATTCAAATGTGATATAAATTCGTTTCTCATACATTTTACTGTAAAATTCAGGGAAGAGAATATTTTTACTGTCATCAAAATTGCAATTTCATTCGCTTCGGTTAAATTTTTTAAACAGTTTTTTGGGGAGGGAATTTATATTCTAACGTGAACACACACAAGAAAGTGCTCAAAGTCAAAAAAAATTCCTGAAAATTATGACTACATTTTTACTGTAGCACAAAATATTAAATGATGATGAAAGTTTGTATTTAAGTAGTAGATGTCATTAAAGCTTTTTTAACATAAAACCTCACGAAGCACTATTAAATTTATAAAAAAAAAATTCACTATTTTCAACTTTTATTTGAAATATCAGTTTCCTTTATCCTTTAATAATTAGAAAAAGTTTTGGCAGCTGAATTTTACTTCAGAAGGAAATGTTAAGTGCCATAATGGAAATGATTTGAAAACTTTTGTTCAATGAACATAATAACTACAAAAATAACTGAAATCTTTAAATACAATATAATGCCAGGGAAGATATGTTAGAATATAGTACCATCATATTTCATATAAAATCGAATCAAAATTTATATTCGAACATAAATATTGAAATTTTGTTCGATAAATTTAAGTAAAGTGATAAATACGTCATTAAATTCGAATATTTATCATCAATTTTAATCCAATACTGAGTAGGAAACTATCGTCGTTATTGTTCTTTTTGCTTTCTTTTTCAAATCATAACAACCCAGTCCTCCTACTCACCAATTACTATTATTAACGTTCCGTTTTACCGCTGCGACACATTTCTGACCTAGAGGCAATTTTTGATCATATTTAATCTTTGCCCCACTTATCAGTAACCTTGTTAAACTTCTTGCCCAATATTAAACAACGTTAAGAGAGACTCACTTCTGAGATCTCTGCAAACTGTGCTATTCGCCATCTGAAGCGTTTGTCGTCTTTCCAGTTCGAGTTTTTTTTTTTAAATTATAATTATTATTTAGCTACTTTAAAATTAGCTCATTTCAAATTTTTCACGTATCGTTATCATTTACAAATGTGTAATTTTTCCTCCCAAAAATTAAGTTTTAGCCAATTTTCCGAATCTATTGTAAAAGTTAAATTATATAAAATGTACATAAAATTTTCATATTTCAAATTCCTGTAGTTATAAATTTAAAAAATAATTTTAAAAGACAAATTTCTGTTATTAAAAGTAATGATTTTCTAGTTTGAAAAATGGTTATATAAATATTTTCATAATAATTTTTAAATAAAACAGAATTCTTTAACATAAACTCAAGTTATAAAATTACATTAGTCGATCTTCATGGGTATTAAATTCATTGAGAGTTATAAATAATTGATTGATTGAACATTTAAATAACAATATCTTATCCACATCAAATTCAAAAATAGCGCTGATAAGTCAATCCAGATATATTTCGTTATTAATTTACTTTCATTATCCAAAAATCTATAATTTATCAAATACCCTTTAGAATTGAATCACGGGATAAACAGATTTTAAAACATCTGTTGTTTTGTCTGGATTTTCCAGTGTCTTTAAATTCGAGCGTAACGAACTTTGTTTTGTCAATTCTATAAAGGTCGAAATTTATAATAGAATCGGATACATCGACATTTGATTACGTTTTATTTCGAATATAATATATTAGGCTAGAACTTTCTGGTCGTATCATATTTCGGAATTGCTAGATATAATTAATGAAATTAAGGTGTGTCTGTTGTTCGTATTCCTATAGCCTATTCAAATTACGATTTCAACGAGTGGGCGTAAATATTTACATCCATAAAAATATTCTTAGAATTCGAACTGACGATACAAAAAATGTATCGAAATATATATATATATATATATATGTATTTTTTTTAATGTTTGGAAAAGTCTGATGCAAACTGTCAAGAGAAAACTAGTTTAAATTTAATCGATCTGCTAATTAATTTTCTTTTTAATTCATCAATTTTTAACCACTGGTATTTGTGACTTAAATATCTGGCATGCCAGATATTTAATAGAGGCAATTCATAAAAAGCATACTCTACTAAAACTTAAAGGCATTGTTTCATATAAGTTTATTACGCAACTAAAAGTAGTCGAACAAATATCCTGTTTCAGTTTTCAAGTAGATTACACGCTGCTGATTTATGGTACAGTTATTGATTTTAAAAAAACAACACATTAATCCAACGCTTTATTTAATTCAATTTCTTTTAAATAAATGAGACGGATAAGGCATACATTCGGGCAGTTAGAGAGATTTTTATTTAAATAATAACGATAATAATTAATAACATTTTAAGACTGTCTTATCATCAAAACAGTCGACTCGATTGGCTAACTTTAATGAAGAATTCGATGATGTTATGGTTAATTCTCATCCGGGATCAACGACAGCTGTAATAATAGGAATTCCTTTTAATTCTATACTTTTTAAAACAGCTTACGGAATTTAACTTTGTATTTTTATGAAGATTATCTCAAGATTTATAGTAATTCTCAGGACAAATTTTTACTTTTAAAAATAACGTGTGAAAATACTTAAGTATTAAATCACTATTATTCATAAAATGTTAAATATAAAAATAACTTATTATCCTGTGGTATGTACTTATATTAGTAGGCTATACAATATATTAATTTCGATAAATTTAAAATCTTTTCTTATATATCACCACACAAAATAATTTAGACACATGGCAACATGATCACTTTAATGAAAAAATATACCTGTTTGATAAGTATTTAATAAGAATTTGTAATTTCAATTGAAAAATGTCATTCCCCAAAGTGAACAAGTCATCAAAGTTCTCATTTTCATCACTGTATAACACATGTAAATAGTGAAAAAAAAAAAAAGCTTTATACCATCATAAGTAAATATCTTAAATATTTAATGTTTGAAAAACCAGTAACATATTTTGTAGAATAATTTAAATAATGCTGCATAAATTTGAATTTTACCTTGTTATTATCTTTAACTGAAAATAAATAATATTAGTATTTTTGTTTACAGAATTTAAATCTTCAAGGTTAAAATCGTTTGAGAATAATTAAACTGACGTTTTTATTTGTCTAACGATGCTAATGTAACTTTAAGTTCAGTAATTTAACTTTTATGATTACACTGATGGAAACAGGAAAAAAACCCTCATTTTAAGTCACAATAAAAAATAATCATCATTAACTATAATTCTGTTCAATAAGTTCGTTTTCGTTGTCATTAATTTGAAAACGAAAGTTATTTAAGCCTATTCTAGTTATTAATTAATGTAGGAGAAAATTCAGATACAATGAATTAAATGGATATTACTGTAATTACAGTAATTTTCTGAAACAGAATAAAAAAAATCGTAAAAAGAAAATTAATGATTTTATTACAAAAACTAAAAGAAATTTAATAATATATTTCCTATTATTTGTTAAAGTGTCTTTTAAGAATCAATAAATTAACTCATCTTGGCATTTAGAAGATGGCATCAATGAGAAAACAGGTTTTCAGATTATATTTTAGACTTTTGGACTATACACCATATAAAACTGATTAAAATTAAAACTGCACTTAAAAAAATATTTAAACTGAAAAAAAGGGCAGATATTAAATAACAAATGTTAAAATTTTACAGGTTACAAAAAATATATATATATAATTTTTTTTTTCCTCAAAAGAACTGATAGAAGGTGAAATTGTTTTCTAATCATTTTCCATAGATGATCTAAGTGAAAAGAATTTTTTTTTTATATTTTTCTAATTTTTATCATGTTCTATTGATAAAAATGTGATTTTTTTTCCAATAGCATTCTTGATTTTTTTTCTTATAAGGAGTTCAATTGTATTTAAACTTCTGTACTGTTTTACAGGCGCTTATCTTGTTAATATAATGTAAATTCGTAAACATTATAAAACATATTTTAAAATAAAATAAATAAATAATTACAATATTATGATAAATATTACGAAAATAAATAGATCAGAGAATTATTGTTTTTTCGTCTGGAATATTTAAAAATGAATATATACATATAGGCCTATATATATATATATACACGAGGATTGAAACTCCGTTAACTATTATAAAGCTGGAATTTTTACTTTATTAAACCTACGTTCAATCGATACTCTAGTATTTGATAGATTGTAGATTGTTTTGGTTATTTTAGTTCTATACAAGAAGTAATATACACTAGAGAATTTTATAACACAAAACAAAACAAAATTACATGTAAATCTCGAAAGAATAAATACATATAATTTAATCAAATAACTTTGTAAAAAAAAAACTTTTTAGTTAGGATATTTTTAAAATAGGATATTTCGTAGACAGCATACATTTGTTACGTTGATTGATTTGAAGCAGAAAATAAATAACAATAACAAAGGCATTCATATTTTTTAATTACAATGTGAATTTTTCCATCTTTAACGTATCAGTAAAATAAATATAGGTTGTTTTTTTAAATGATTAAATAGTTTCTTTTATATGATCGTAATTAAAAATGTTTATTAAATTTTTTACTTCTATTTTATGAGAATTAAGATAAGTGTAACACCAGTTTAATCCTCTAAAAAGTTACTCGACTATTTAAAGTACTTTAGAACACTGTAACTCCATTGAATTACTAAAGAATGCGATTCTCTACTACTTTGAGATTGTATTTTCCAATCAGTGGTTAAAAAAATCTGATGTGATCTAATAAAATAAGAATTTCTTTATCAATTTAATACATATTTTAAAATACAAGCACTACAGAACGTATACTACTAAATTATACATATAAGAATTTATGTAATAATTGTATACAGTGTATAATAAATGTATCTTTTAATGTATGAATTAACTCAGTTTTCTGAATGTTTTCTATATTGAAAGTCTACTACAATTTGATTTATAGAAAATATACATAAGTTAATTTAATTTTATATATAACATATTAAAAACTATTACAAATAAATTACAAAAAAAATTAATAATAAATAAAGAGAAATAAATAATAAAATTGTTGATATAAAGTAGGGAAAAACTAAAATATATTTTTACTATATAATGTAGAATATATAGAAAAATTATTGAATGCAAGATAAAAATTGTCTATCGGAATGACAACAATTGTGTTTGCATTGTAGATTGTATGTGATATGATATTCCACGAATACATACAAAATTTTGAAAATATGACTTCTGTATATTGGACAAATAATATTGAATTTTACATGAAAATTTTTTTTTGATTCCATAAAAAAAAGTTGTTTTAAATTTACAGTTGTTGTTATTGAAAGTTGTTTTTTTTAAGTTAAAACTTGTACGTATATCATACAAATTTAATTTAAAAGATATGTTTTTATAACAATATGGTTTCAATTAAAATAGATATACAAATATGATCTTAGTATCAGTAGTATAATTGAAATGAAATGTAAGAGTTAAATTTCAAAATGTTTTAAAACAGTGTTTTTTTTTTATAATGTATTCATATCTGAACTATGTTTTATCAACTTCAAAGCCAATATTTAAATTATTACTATTATTATTTATTGTTGAAACTGTGTTTAAAAAAATTACACAAGTAAAACTGAAGCTACTGTAAAATTGATCTTTATTAAATTGTTCAATTCACAAACGAACACAGAAACACTTTTAAAAGCATTTCAACAGACAAGTTATTTTTTAATTTATATTTCTCCATTTCTTATTCTTTAAAATGAAATTATAAATCATGTAGTTTCTTTAATATAAAAGTTAGGTGATAATTTATACAAATATATAGCTTAATAATCAATTGATTTCGATAATTCGATAAAATTAATGATTATCATCTTAACTGATTTTTGTTTGTTTAGTAATTCATAAATCTCATATTTTCAGAATGGAGTTATTGTAAAAGAGTCTCTTTCAATTGTCAAAGATTAAGTATTGATTCTAAACCGAGTCCATTTTAATCTGAATTTAAATCGGATTTAAAAGTTAGCATTATCGTAGTATTTCTTCTCTCTCATTTGCATTGATAGAATCCATTAAAACGACTGAAAAATCCATTTTTCAGATAAAATTGCATGGCATCACCAATTGAATCTGTTTTGTGTGCTAATGATAAATATTATAAATATAATACGATCTTTAATTTTAATGGAAGTAGTGAATTAATTGCCGAAAGGTTTTTTTTTATGTTTCCAGAAAGCTGCGAAGATTTAAATGAATTTAACGAACTGATTATTTAATACTAACTTTATTTTATGGAACCCGCTCTGGGGAACCGGAGATCGAATCCAGGAGAGCCATTTTTCATGGACAATCTGCCCAGATATAATATCCTACCGCCCTATTGCGTGACTGTTCGAACCCACAATTAGCACAAGGAAAGGGCACTCTTAATGCCCAAAGGGCAGAAAAAGATGAAAATGAAAATAAAACTTTAAAAATAAGTAATAAACTATGATTATCCTATTGACAGTAGTTGAAATTAGATAATGTTCGTCATCATTCATCTCGAATTAAGCCTGAAGAAACAGTTAAGATCGTAAGACCTGTTCTTATATACTGTAGTTTAAGGTGCTCTTGATATTTTCATCTCTTTGGACGTTCTCTGTCCTCCTTACTCTTTAACTGATGTTCTAATGTAAACTGATGTAGCCAATACTGGTCTATTCGCAAAATACTGTTTATTCACAGGCAATATGATCGTGTTTATTAATTCTATACTATTGTAAATTAAACTTCTTTTATTATTTTTTTTAAACTAAAATATTGCCTTATGTTAAGCTTTCCTTTTTCATTTGGGATTTAGGGGAGATCGGCATGTTAAGCTTTACTTAAATTTTGTGTAATAAATACAGCTGTAAACTGAAAAAAAAGCTTTGCATATTGTCTATTGGAATGTTACCTTACTATAGAACTGGTTAAAATCAGTTTGGAAATAAAAATAATTAAAATAATTACAACTTTACAAGAAGAGAGAAATTGANCATGCTTTCTGGTTTGAATCAGAAGTTTGTATATAGTTTCTGTTTCTAAGATTTCTGTATCTGGTCTCACCTTTCATCTATCTAACTCTGTTCTCAAGATTAAAGAAAGACAGACAGACTGATGACAGTGGAAATTTTTAGGTCTATAATTTTTTCAATTTGCAGCCCAATAATGTGTAATCTTGGGATTTTATTTGATAACAAAGTCAGTTATTAAGTTAGTATACAAACATGTTATGTAATTAAAATTAATTATAATAATAATAATAATCTTTATTTGTCGTAAAAGGCTTTCGCCTGTTACAAGGGCGTTTTATTTTAAAAAACGCATATTAATTTAACATCTCATATATTCTCGTCTTATCAACAATGATATAGACAAATATATATGAACTAGTACCCATCAAAACATTTGCTTAAAAAAATTAAGTTGCAA